CTAGATCCATGTATATCACCCTATACCAACATTAACTCAAAATGGATCAAGGATCTTAATATCAGACCCCAAACTCTTAAGTTGATACAAGAAAGAGTAGGAAATACTCTGGAGTTAGTAGGTATAGGTAAGAACTTTCTCAACGAAACCCAGCAGCACAGCAACTAAGAGATAGCATAGATAAATGGGACCTCATAAAACTAAAAAGCTTCTGTTCATCAAAAGAAATGGTCTCTAAACTGAAGAGAACACCCACAGAGTGGGAGAAAATATTTGCCAATTATACATCAGACAAAGGACTGATAACCAGAATATACAGGGAACTTAAAAAACTAAATTCTCCCAAAACTAATGAACCAATAAAGAAATGGGCATGTGAACTAAACAGAACTTTCTCAAAAGAAGAAATTCAAATGGCCAGAAAACACATGAAAAAATGCTCACCATCTCTAGCAATAAAGGAAATGCAAATTAAAACCACACTAAGATTCCACCTCACCCCTGTTAGAATAGCCATCATCAGCAACACCACCACAACAGGTGTTGGCGAGGATGCGGGGAAAAAGGAACCCTCTTACACTGTTGGTGGGAATGTAGACTAGTACAACCACTCTGGAAAAAAAATTTGGAGGCTACTTAAAAAGCTGGACATCGATCTACCATTTGATCCAGCAATACCACTCTTGGGGATATACCCAAAAGACTGTTACTCCAGAGGCACCTGCACACCCATGTTTATTGCGGCACTATTCACAATAGCCAAGTTATGGAAACAGCCAAGATGCCCCACCACTGACGAATGGATTAAGAAAATGTGGTATCTATACACAATGGAATTTTATGCAGCCATGAAGAAGAACGAAATGTTATCATTCGCTGGTAAATGGATGGAATTGGAGAACATCATTCTGAGTGAGGTTAGCCTGGCTCAAAAGACCAAAAATCGTATGTTCTCCCTCATATGTGGACATTAGATCAAGGGCAAACACAACAAGGGGATTGGACTATGAGCACATGATAAAAGCGAGAGCACACAAGGGAGGGGTGAGGATAGGTAAGACACCTAAAAAATTAGCTAGCATTTGTTGCCCTTAATGCAGAGAAACTAAAGCAGATACCTTAAAGCAACTGAGGCCAATAGGAAAAGGGGACCAGGAACTAGAGAAAAGGTTAGATTAAAAAGAATTAACCTAGAAGGTAACACCCACGCACAGGAAATCAATGTGAGTCAATGCCCTGTATAGCTATCCTTATCTCAACCAGCAAAACCCCTTGTTCCTTCCTATTATTGCTTATACTCTCTCTACAACAAAATTAGAGATAAGGGCAAAATAGTTTCTGCTGGGTATTGAGGGGGTGGGGGGGAGCGGGAGGGGGTGGAGTGGGTGGTAAGGGAGGGGGTGGGGGCAGGGGGGAGAAATAAACCAAGCCTTGTATGCACATATGAATAATAAAAGAAAAATGAAAAAAAAAAAAAAAAAAAAAAAAAAGGAGACAGAGACTACAACAGGAGAGCCAGTGGTCGTGTCTTCCTTGGTGCCGGAAGAACAGCCAGCCTGTGGACTGGGACAGGGGGACAGCTACCTGTGGAAGCCTCTCCCACCTGGACCCTGGACCTGGAAAGCAGCCATGGGTGCAGGAAGGAGAGTGGCCAGGTGTGTACGAGGGCCCCATAGGGTTACTCAAAACTACCCAGTGCAGCTGTGTGCCCAGTTGTGACAGTAGCTCATGGGGGATGACAAAGATAATCTCTGGACAGAAGTTATACACAGAACACACCCATCTAAAGGCACTGGAGAGAATACAGGCAGGTGGGACCTGGGGGACAATAGGATACCCTGCAAGCTTCTGGGTTGAGGCTTTTCACCGAAGGGCAGCCTCACAGTCCACCTGCCTGAGGACAAGGGGGCAACGCCCTGAAAGCCACAGATACTACAAAGTGAGGGGAGAGAGTTGCAGATGCGTCACCTGGCTGACCCCAGAATTACAAAAGAGAGGGAGGCTTGACCTCGGTCAGCCAATATTCTCTGTCCTAAGGAAAGAAGTACTCTTCAGAAGACTACTGGAAACCAACCTCTGCAGTCGATAATATATGACAATGGAACCTAAAATCGGACACTAACAAAAACAGGGAAACATGAGGAATAGTCAAGAGAATGAGCCAGTGGCCAATGGGCACCACACCACAGATGACTTGAACATGGAGTCAGTGTAACTATGTTCCTGATGATAAGAAGAAAACATGCTCCAATACGTGAATGGACAGGATCTCAGCAGAGAAAAAGAAATTACAAAAAGAAGCAGAGAGAAATTCTAAAACTGAAAAACATAACATCTGACATAAAATCGTCCACAGACAGGCTCAACAGCAGGCAGGAAATGGTGAATGAGGATGTGAGTTTGAAGATGGATCTGAAGGAAAGAAAGGACTGAAAAAGTGAACAGAGCTTTGGAGATGTGTGAAGCGCTGACAGCATATCCTACCAGAAACCTGGAGTGCCAGGCAGAGAGGAGAGAGAGTGAGGAAGAAAGATTTTAGTCATGGCTGAAAATCTCAATTTGATGAATGACAAGAAGTGAGATAAATACAAAAAAAAAAAAAAAAAGTCACATCTAGGGACATTATATTCAAACTACTCCTAACCAAAGACAAAGTAGAAACTGTGAAAACAGCCAGAGAAAAAAGACACATGGCACAAGCATGGGAGGACTGCAAATCAGAAAGAGTAACCAGGAGACAGGGTAGTGCCATCATTGAAGAACAAAACCCCTCAACCCAGAATTCTACGATCAGCAAGAATGAAGTCATATGAAACAAGGTCATCTTCAGCGAGGCACACGACTTACATCCTAGCTACTCGGAAAATGGAGACTGGTAGGATTGAGGATCAAGCCCAGCCAGGGCAAAAAGTTAGTGAGAATCCATCTCAACTAATGCTGGAGGTGGTGCTGCACACTGTCACGTCAATTATGCAGGAAGCACAAATGCAAGGACCACCACGGAGGCCAGCCAGGAAATAAGTATGAGACCTCATTCAAAAAACAGCTAACACAAGAAAGGCCAGAGTCAAGGCTCAAGTGCACAAGTGTTTGCCTCATGAGCATGAGGCCCTGAGTTTATACCCCACACTGCCAAAAAAAAAGCCATTTTCAGATAAATGAAAATAGAAGAGTCCACAGCTGCAGAGCTTTCTGAAATGAACCACGAAACAAAGTTGTCCAGGCTGCCAGGGGTGAAACTAGCTAAAACCCCAGCCCTCAGGGAGAAAGAAGAGCAGGGGAGACAGCAAATGTCTTCCTTTTTCTTTCTTAAAATATATGGTTTGTGGGGGGTCTGGGGTGTACAACATATGCAGATGGGTCACAAGTGACAACTCCAGCATAAGGCAGGAGGGGGCACCACACCAACACTGTCCTGGTGGGCCCTGCTCATCGTATAGGCCAATTTCCCAAGTGTAAATGCTGCCACCACAGCCAATTCGACACTGCCAATGTGACATCAGGCAGCTAAAACAACTGAACAGCTGGCTCTCAGGAGCTAGTTGGAACTGCCTTGAGCGCACCATTGAACAGACAGTCAGCAAAGCTCTTCTGCTTTGTGTGAGGTAGTTTGATACCAACTCAGAGCAGAGCCTAAAAGGTTCAAGGGTCAACTGTAATGCTCCTTCAACCAGGCTATACAGAGAATCCACTCTGCTGTGTGGTGACCATCACTCTCCAGCTCTACTCACACTTTAGGAACACTGGGGAAAAGTCTCTCAAACACTCTGTGTCCTGTGTTTCCAATGAGAAGCCCTGACTGAGGAAGGCTGTGACACCCAGTTTAAAAGTGTGAGGCCCTGGGTTTGATCCCACTACACAAAGTACAACAAGAGTAGTCCTATTACCTAGGGAGGGACTCTCGGCAAGATCCTTTCAACTCCTCGTTTCATGTCATCAACGGTAACTGTTTACTAAAGAGCTGGAGAGAAACCTCAGTCCCACTGCACGGCAAGGAACATGGTCTCTCAGGAGCAACATGTCATGTAAAGATGAGTGTGACTTGACAGGACTCCAAAGGTTGGACAGGGGTAAGCTACCTCCCAGGCTGTTGGACCCCCAGTTGCCCCTAGCACAAGGTGCGTGGTGCAGGGGGAAGGACATGGACAAGCCAGAGCTCTCTGTGACAGTGTCAGAACTAGGAGCACTTGTGAAGTGCACACACTAGAGGGCAGAGAGAGGTAACGGGAAACTGCAATGGGTGGGCGGGAGCACCTTGACCCCTGACGTCCACAGCCCCAATAACACAAATGCACCTACGCACAATAAAGCCCAGCAGTGGGGGCCAGCCAGAAGTGGGACATCATGACACAGGACCTTCAGGACACCCCTCCCCCCTCTACTCTGCAAGACCCCGTGGAATTTTTATCTACCATCTAGTTTGACTCAACGAGCCACTTTCACTCTCCTGAAGTCTCTAATGCCACCAGAGTTGCTTAACTTAAAATAACCTGACCTTATGGCCATTGGATGGCCACAGACATCAGGCATGCAGACCGTGTGGGGCCCTCATGGCTCCATCAGTCACTGTCCACACTTCCGCTACACTAAGTGGAAATGCGCTTGCTCAGCTGCGCTGGCCATTCTGGTTCTGAGCGTCCCGTGAGGCTGGCACCCAAGTCAGTGCATCACTGTGCCCCATGGGTGGGAAGAGTTCCAGGCGCCTGCTCCGGGGGACCACAGACCACAGCACTCTGCATGGGCTGCTCTAGAATCCAGGCCTTGTTCTAGGCGGGGGGGCAGAGAGAGTGTGTGATAACTTTCCTTTTCCCCTTAACAAAACATGGATGTTGGAGATGTCTGCTGCCACCTAAGCTCTGTATTCCTTGCAGAAGGAGAACAATGATACCCTTCGCTAGCTCAGCACTGACTGCCAGCAGAGCATGTGACGAGATGCCATCCCCCAGCCCATTGCTCCTCCCCGTGCCCTAGGACCTCCACCAAAGCCCAAGGTAACCCACCTTTGCCGTGCTTCCCCAAAGGCCTCTTGGGTAATGACTCCTCCGTGGAATGTGCTGATGTGTGCAGAGCGTTCTCCAGACTGTTACTGACACTGTGGACCGGGGTCTCGGTTCTGGGAGCGATCTGAGGGGACAAAATACAATCGCCTTACTTTCTTCTCTTTCACTGTAGTTATTTCAAAGTGAAGAATACCACCTGTCTTCCACTGCCCTCCGAAATCTACAAACAGTCCAGGTAACTTCAGCCAGCAAGAGCTTTTGCCTGGGCCCACGGTCATCCACTGGACTGCACACAACGCTCTTATCCACAACGGCAAGAAGTAAGTGCTTTCACTTGAGGCAAAACCTCATTTTGTATTTCTTCCTGTAAGTGCTTCCTATAAAACCAGTATCTGGCAGGACATAACCTGGCAAGTCCTGAGTCAATGACCAAATGCTCTAACAGCAACAATGAGGAGGGCATGACGGCACCCTCCTGGACAGTGTGAACAGCACCTCCTAGGAACACATCTTGACCCCACTTCTAAGGACTCCTCGTACAAAGCTACACAGGGAAAAACTTGGCAGTGGGAGGCACTCACTGCAGTGCCTGGCACTGAAAACCTGGAAATCTTTGCCATCTAAACTGCAGGGCACCTACAGATGGGCTAGCTAGTCGTCAAGGAATCCTCAGGGAAGGTGCTCCAGCAAGAACGAGGCGGAAGACACACTGTCAGACACAGGCCTGCCCAGCCCTACGCAGCCCCCCAGCCCTTGCGTAAGGGCTAAATATGAGCATAAAGAAGCCTGCTGGCTCCCAGTTGTGGCCCATGGAGAGGGAGACTTTGCTGCGCAGGTGGAGGGGAGCATTGTAGAAAGCTCAATTTCCAGCATTGGAAATTTCAGACAAATAGATGAGCAGTGCCTTGGGGCATGGATGTCATCCACCTCAGACTTGCTTTGTTATGACTTCCCTCGGTCCCCCACATGGGGGTCGCTGCTGTCCAAGGCGCCAGCCCGGCGCTCAGGCAGCTTGAACGCAGAGGCAGAAAGAAGGGTGCCACCACTGCCACCCTTGGGGCCTAGACTCCTATGTGCTGAAGAGCAGTGGGCACAGAGTCCACAGGGCACCCATAAGTACTTGCTCTGCTGCACTTGTCTGAGCCACCAGGGCAGGAGGTCCTTAAGGGATGGCAGGCAGGAAGGCTCAGTCTGCGAGTGTGTACTGAGAAAGGCAGCAAAACAGGCCACTTAATCTGGAAGCTTACAAAACTGCAGAAAATGAACCTAGCTGCCCAGCACTCCTCCAGGGGGTCGACTCTGGTTAACATTAGCAAGGCCTTATCAACAAAGTTAAATTTGTAAGCCCAGCATGGAGGAGCATGCCTATAATCCTAGCACTCAGGAGGCCGGGGCAGGACAATCATAAATTCAAGCCCAGCGTGGGCTATACTGCAAGACCCTGTCTCAAAAAAAAAAAAGAAAAAAAAAGTTAAAATCTCAAATTACTAATCTTTGGGCTGAGGTATAGTTCAAGTGGTAAAGTGCCTGCCTAGCATGTATGAGATCCTGAGTTCAAACCCCCGTACCATACACACACAATTAGATTTTACTAGTATTTGTAACTGAACTGAATTGAGTTATGTGCCTTTAAATTAGCAGTTTCTTTCCCAATCAAATGGCTGGAGAAGTCCCAAGATAAACTCCTTTCCCATTAAATCAAATAACAGAATAGGCACAAGCCTATTCTCAAAAAGACCATCAGTTCTAAATAGTGAACATGAGCCATGCATGATGGCGCATGCCTGTAATCCCAGTACTCAGAGGCCAAGACAGGGGGCTGAATGAGTTCAAGGACAGCCCAGGCCATGTAGGGAGACTCTGTCTCAAAACAAAACTCCAAGAGCTGGGGGTGTAGGTCAGTAAGGAGTGGTTAACCACCTAGTGCACACATGACCCTGGGTTAAATCCCCATCACAAGGAGGGAAGGGAAGAGAAGGGCGGGGAGGGGAAACATGCACAGGACTGGGACACAGCTGGGAATGGAATCCACAATGCACAAATGGACACCACAGCCAGTGTGACTGGCCGGCTCACAAACCTCAGCCTCTCCTGCCCACTCTGAAGTGGAATGTACATCGTTCATCCCCAAGAAGACGGGCAGGGAGCTGTCTTGACCAACAAAGGCAGCCTGCGTGGCTGGCCAGGGGTGAAGCCCCACTCGCCCTGTACCACCCCACACAGCCATGAGTGAAAACCTGGCTCCTGATCCCAGGCCTATGGGGATGAAGGCAGGGAGGGGACACCCACCAGTGTCAGGCACACCCGGCCTGTGAGGAGCTCTGGAAAGGGGCGTTTCTTGTTTTCTGCATGATGCTAATTTGCGGCCGGGCTGAGACCCAAAGCTGACCTGAGTGCAGGCTTCCAAAGGCACTGAGCCAATTCCCAGAGACCACAGGAAGAGCTTCCTGTGCGTGGACAGGAAGAACAGCAGGCTGCGGTCCCCAGGCTACAGCTCCAAGCCACCCAATCAAAACACACGCATGGCATGGGCACAAGACAGGAAAGGCAAGGCTCTGAATTATGGCCCAGACACAAAGCAGTTGTCTTCCTGTCTCTTCCCTGAAGCAAAGCGACTCTGGACCTCTAAATGTTCACTTTTTCCAGCCGGCCTTTATCTTTACTTTGTTTACATTGAATGCTGCCTCCCTGGCGCTTCCCAGAAATGCTGTTTTGGGTTATTTTTGGTTAGGTTAATTTGCCCACGTGACTTGCGAAGCTCGACTCAGATGCTCTCTGACTCACGCTCGCCGCAGAGCTCCCGCCATTGGCTGGTTGTGTGCAAGGAGACAGGCTGATCAGTTCCAAATGTCGCCTTCTGCTACCACATGCCAGAGAACGCTCCCACTCAAGACTGAGACCACTCCGCTGGCCCGGCTTTCCCCACCGGTTCATGTCCTTCTGCAAAAGCTTGTTGCTATGTTTCCATGCTCTGCTCACTGCTAACTACCCTCACCTTCACAGACAGCCTCTCTGTCACCACTAAGGCCAGTGCCTGGCCCACAACCTACCCCACCCCTTACTCTTGCCCACGGGAACGAACCATCATCCCGTCTGCCAGGGCCTTGGCACTACCTGCTCCCTGCCTGTAAGCTCCTTCCCTACCCTCCCATCTATACACAACTGTCACTATCTCCTTGAGGATGCCTCAGCACTCAACAAGGTGAGGATATTTTTCTTTTTCGGTTTGTCTTACTTATGGCAGGTTCCCCTGCCTTAGAACAGTGCCTGCCATAGAGTCGGCCCTAATGGATCTGTGACATATGTAATTATACCACCACACTTCAACACCACCAGCACAGATGAATAAACATAAACATGCAGCCAATCCCAGTTCACCAAGCCTAGGGGCCTCCATGACTAAGCAACTCTGCTCAGGTGCCAGGGAGCCATGGGACAGGAGGCTGAGGCCTCCTCTTCCTCCTGTGGCACCCGGGAGAGCTCGCCTCAGCTTCTGCCTGCTGGAGTGAAGTCCAGCACCTAGACCCCTGCAGCTCACACTGGCTCATGGAGTCTACCTGTGGCTATTAGAGGTTCCATGTTCTCATCCAGGTCTGCCAGGCTGGGACTGTGCATTTCCAGCCAGTTCCCAGGGCTGCCAATACTGCCAGAGCATTTCAGATAAAGCAGTCAGACCTCAAGGCCCCTCATGGAAGACATGAGGGGCGTGGCTCTGCATGGACATGCAGACCAGAGGGCCACAATGGCCAGGTTGGGAATGGTGACACTACTTACTGCCCCACAGTGAGACATCTACACCTTTTAAAAGCTTTTCTTCCATGCTTTAAAAACCTGGTTTTTAAAGCTTTGTGTTTAAAAACATTAATACTCATGGACCAGAACCACACTTTCTAACAACTGAGCTTTTAGCTACTGACTCCATTTCAAGTGAGACACGCTAACACAGTCAGACTAAAGGGAAGCCGACCCGAGCCTGAGCTTCCCCAAGTCTTGTGCTGTCCTCCAATGGGCACTTGAGCCCCTCGGAGAGCAGCACTGCCACTAGAGCAGGGTCTTCCCCTGGATGGTGCCAACCACCTCCCTCACAGTCTGGTGACACCAACTGATCCCTTCACCTGCAAGCAAAGCCAGTTCCCCAGAGGAAGCTGGCGGGAAGGTTGTTTACACCCACAGCAGGCGAATCCAGGGTCATCGCACTAGTGGTGCTGATGGGATGTGGGAAACGGCCTCACAGCCTGATGTGTGCTGTCTGTGGTCCTCTGGTGACGCCATCTCAGGGACTGTCAGACTGCTGAGGATCTGTCTGTTCAGATGGCAGGAAATGCCGGATAAAGCAAAGCTGTGGTCAGGCCCCAACCCCACAACTAAGAGCCCCTGCTTGGGGACAGGGAAGCTTGCTGGGTCACGTCCTCTCAACCCCATGGGTTTATCTCTGGGCTGGCTTGCCTGTAGACAGCCCCCCTAGGACCTGACAGCAGACAAGTGCTTAAGGAAGGTTAGCAGTACAACCCACCTCCAGTGACAACAGGCTGCATGCCCTTCCCGGCCCTCCCCAGAAAGGTCCCTCTTAACTGTGCCCCACCTCCCCACTTGGACAAGCCTGTTGGCTGGAGCCCACGCAGCACTGCTGCACAAGAGAAGCAGAAACAAGCACTTTGCCATCCATGGAGTTCAGGTGCTCTCCACAGGAACAGCATGGGGGTCTGGTGCCCAAAACAGCACCTTACTACCACTACTACATCAGTTCAAACACACTGCCCTGCTTCTACACCTGTCACACATTAGCCCAAAGTTTCCCAAGTGGGAGCACTTTTGTCCCTGACCTGGTCCCAGCTGGAGACACTGACTGGCCGGGGACTCTACTGGCACCCATGTGCAGGGTAGGGATACTGTGAGCACAGAGGCTGAGGACCCCTGCTTGAGCGGCTGCCCATCCAGGACAGGATCAGGACTATAAGGGTCAGGTGACTCTGCTTTTCTCACTACAGTGCAGGACGGAGGCCATGGGAAGCTCACTTTATCCCATCACCATCCAGCCCAGCTCCTCTCCAGAGAGCGTGCAGCCATCTCTGCAGGAACTGCACACGGTGTGAACAGAGCCCCGCTGAGCCCTGAGACAGACAC